TGTATTCTGTAATCTGTAATGGAATACATTTTAAAAGTAACCTTCCCAACACTGCCCACCAGCTCCATAGCAGACCGAGAGGTCGGCACATCATTTTCAACCCTCCCATGGTCTTTCACTACTCAGGTTAAACATGATATATAAGTCTCTTAGGTAACTTCGAAATGTTAATGTTTGGTTTATTTGTTCCTGAGTAAATCGTTTTGGCTGAGATATATTTCACTTCAGGGGGAAACATTTTCACCGGGAACAAAAACAGCATTTTAATACGTGGCGATTCTGAATGCTGCTTCAAAATGATCAGATTATATTTTAAATATGTGTTCAGTTCTCTTCCAAACCCCAGCAGCTGTCTATTGTGATTTTTGAGTGTCCACTAAAATAAAAATAAAGTGTCCTAACATCTCACCTGTTTGTTTTTATTCAGGCATACATGTGCATTATTTTTATTAATAGAGATTTCGCTGCTGAGGTTAAACATGATACATAAGTCACTTCGATCACTTCTAAATGTTAATGTTTGGTTTATTTCAGGTTTTTCTTTGTTCCTGAGTAAATCGGTTTGGCTGTGATTAAAGTTAAGCTTCATTACTCACAGTTAAATTAAGAGGGGACGGCAGTAAAAGCTCCGGACCTGTGACATCATCAAGTACGCTGTACAAATCCCGAGTCCGTGCGTGCCGGACTCTTGGGACTTGCGTACTTGAGGAAGGGCCATGGGAGTGGTTTTGTTCTTCTCGCGTTATTTTTTAGTCACCGCGAGAGTTGGAGAGAGTACTGAGACAAGTTGCTGAGTTTTGGCGCAACAGGAGCAGAGCAGGAATAATGGAGGAGGAAAGCCGGGACACGGAGAACAGCAACGGAGAGGAGTCCTCCTCAGCTCGCGCTGAGCTACAGGTGAGAGGTTATCACAGCTGAAAGAGGACGTGAAGGGGCACGAGGGACTTCCTGTTCAGGCTTTAACTTTGACAGAAGAAAGGAGACAAAACAACCATCGGGACACAGCCGCGCAGTTTAAGAAAACGATGTGCGCGTCTGCACCAGAACTTACGGTCCAAGCTGTAGACTCCGTCAGGAATGCATGGGGCGTTTAGGTGCACCTCGTAAACTCAGCAATCGTACCCCCAGAAGCCGTGATGGTTATTTGAACGGCTGTGGTATTATTATTATCAGGTAACAATTTGAGTTTTTTAATGTTTTCATGCGGAATTGAATGGATAATATTGGAATTCTAGATCCAAACGTGTTCATGGCCATAAAACATAATAAAAACAGGGGAAAGGCTGATGAAGAAACTGCATCTGCTCTATAACTACAGGTTAGTGCATCTGTACGGAGAAAGAGTCAGATTGTTCTTATAGCTCTCTTGCACTACATCTATTTCACACTTAAATTTTGTCTTCATTTATTTATTTATACTATTTGTATTTTGTCTGTTCTATTTATAAATATTAACCAGGCATCTGTGTGTGGATAGCAAAGAAAGAATTTCAATACACAGAGAAATTCTTTGTGCATATGACAATAAACGCTTGAATCCTGAATCACTAAAGACAGATTTTAATGGCACCAACAGCTATGCGCTTAATATGCAAGATGATCGTCTCTGCAGTTGTTATCACGCTCTGCAGGCGTTTGCAGTCCATAGCAGTAGTGCTGCTGTACCATGCAGTGATGCAGCTGGTCAGTGTGCTCTCCACAATGCAGTCTCTAAGAGCATCCACAGAGTTTTGTTTTGTCAAAAAACTGGCAGCGAGGACTGAGTTTATGATCTCTGAGCTAAACTCGCAAAACTCGTAATAATGTAGCGAGAACACATGGTTCAATACAAAAATGCTGGAGATGCAGCTTGAAAATTGCACAAAATAGTGTGGAATGAAGTAATGGAAACGACAAAGCTAATGATAATTATTCTTTTTAAATTGAATAAAGTAATTCTGTTGATTCCATGCTGTATTAATTGTGTTTCAGATTGCTTTAGTTTCTGGCCTGCTTCTTGTGTAGTCAAAGAATGTGAGCAGCTTGCATAGAAAGGGGAGTAGACCAAGGTGAGCAAGATAATATGGGGAGACAGTGGTGTCACCATAGAGATGGAGAGAGAAAGAAAAGTACTAGAAGTTGTGTCACAGAGAGCAGCTTCCACGAACCTATATAGAAGAGTGCATCCCTTTGTTTAGCCAGACCTCGCCCATAGAGAGCTCTTAGCTGCTTGGTCTCCAGATCACTGAATGCTTGGAAAATAAAGAGTGTCAAATGAAGTTCTTGTCTCTGTTTGATCTCTACCATCAAAACAATCTGTGAAGTTGGCGAACTTCAACAATAGTTTATTAGAAAACAGCTTAGAGAAAGTGGAGAAGCTCAGACAAACCTAAACAAATAAATAATAAATATAATAATAGAGCACTGCGGGGGGTAATGTCCACACATAATGTACACGCACTAGTTTCTCCCTGCAGAGGAAACACAAGACAGTCAGACACACACACACACATCACTCTACTAGTGCACAAACTCAAAAAGTAGATTAGATTAGAACAGGATGTTCTGAACACAACACCCTGTTTGTTATCAGGATGCACAGTAGGTGAGGCCATAAATAAATGTCCTATAGTGCTACTCTGTTGTAATCTTACAGTATTTATTAACTTTAAATACTCCAGTGTGAATTACTTTGTGGTCGGCTGTTCCAAAGTTTGTGAGTGGAGGATCTCTGAGTTTGGACTCGAGAGAAAGTCAGAAACAAAAACATTGTTTCAGCCTGGGAGCCAAACTGCTGTTGTGTTCAGTTTTATGTAGAGCTGGGCGATATAAGATTTTTTCATATCACGTTTAAGTTTCAAAACAGAACAAACGAAACAGACTAAATTGTCAATTCCACTTAGAAACAAAATATTAATTCTAAAAATAAATCTTAGTTTG